AGGGGAATCGGGCCTCCCTCCAACCGCCTTCGCGCAAGCGCCTTCGAGACCACGCCCCATAACCCCGGCCAATCTGGCCCCGCCCCCCGCGGGAGCACTGCGCAGGCGTCCCGGGGGCCACACCCACTTCCTAGATTGGACACCGCCTTCCGGCGGAGCACGACGCAGGCGCCTTCCGGGGACGCCGTCCTCGTCCTCGCAGGCGCCGCCCCGAGCGGTGCACTACGCAGGCGCCAGCACGCCCTCCTCTTTTCCAACTGTCCACCCGTTTCTAAGCGGCCACTGGGGCACACCCCCTGGGGCCGAACGCGCAAGCGCTCCTCCTCTCAAGCCGGGGTCGGCGTCTTGGTACGCACGTCAGAGCGGCGGCGGGAGACTACGGAGTTTACCGCCGGAAATCCTGAGGCTTTTACCACAGAGAGCGCGCTCAGCTCGCCAGCTAGAGAGGCTCGCTTCCGCCCCGTTCAGGGGTGGGGGCCGCCATCTTGAGAGCGTGCGCGCAAAGGCCTTGGCGGGATTGGCTCCGCGTCGGGGCTCGCCTGTTGCTTCCCGCCTACCGCGGTTTCGTCTCAAACCTCTCCCTGCGAGGAGGAGGGCCTGCCGACGGCCGGTCCCTTTGCAGGTGAAGGGTGAGCCCGCACGCACCGTCCTATGGGGTCCCAGCACCGACCCCCGTAGGGTAGGAGGAGGGAGAGACGCTGACCTCTCCGCCCGCGCTCAGCGCACCTCAGTCGGCTTCACTCTGGTGGCAGCTCAGCGGGACTGTAGCCATGTCCCTCCCGTTTTCTTCTGAGCCCCAAGTCCTCTGGGAAAAGGCCACACTGTCCCACACGCGTCCTGCTAGGAGAGGGTTTGCAGTAAGGAGGTGTGTCTTGGGACCGCCTTTACTTCGGCTTCTGGATGAAGGCTGTGTGGACTCTCCCATTCAGAGATACAAGTAGAGGATGGGGGGAAACTACGTGGGTTGTCAGGGTGGTCCGAACACGCCATCATCAGGCTGCCTGAGCGTCTTTTTTTTTTTTTTTTTTTTTTTTTTTTTTTTTTTTTTTTTACTTGCTTTCCTTTTCCATTAGCAGAAGAAACTCTTAATTCTGGAAGTAGCGACTCAATACCATGGCCAGCCTCCTAAATGAAGATCCAGAAAGAAGTCGAGTGCGTGACAGCTATTAAATTTATCGGTGAAGTGAAATTCAGAGTAATTGAGGTCAAAAGCATAAACACTTTCTAATTAAAGCAATAATTGGATTGTCTCCTCTCCCCGAGCCCCCTCTCCCCCGTTTGTTTCTAGCTGGTTTACTTAGGAAAGGCTAATACAATCCCAGGCAGAGATCATCCATCACTTTCCTTTTACAGATACTTTAATATATGGTGGTTAATTTTGTAAGATGGGAAGGCAGGGAAGAGGTGTGGGTGGGGGCTCTGTTGAAGGTCTGAAAGGAGCAGTCTTTCTGTTTTTAACAAGCTTTTTCTTTCCCTTTGCACATTTCAGATCACATACGTGAAAGGGGATCTTTTCGCATGTTCCAAAACAGACTCTCTAGCCCATTGTATCAGTGAGGACTGTCGAATGGGTGCTGGGATCGCTGTTCTTTTCAAGAAGAAATTTGGAGGGGTGCAGGAACTGTTAAATCAACGTGAGTTTTCAGAGTATTGATCCTAGCCCGCCACATCCTGGCTGTAGCATGGTTTGGTCTCCATTACACTCTGTGTACATGTGCATGCAAAGAGATTTTTAACAGTGCTTTTGACTTTTCAGTTCGCTTTTAATGGCCTCTGGTTTGGATCTTTACCACACCAAATCAGAGTTCTTGTAAAAGTTTCCAATCTCTTTCTCGTGTGTGTGTGTGTGTGTGTGTGTGTGTGTGTGTGTGTGTGAGAGAGAGAGAGAGAGAGAGAGAGTTAGTTCATAGTGTGGTGACCCATGTGTGGAGGCCAGAGGTTCACATTATCTGTCTTTGAGCACAGAGCTTGTCCATTTAGCATGAGCTGGCCATCAGGTCCTGGGTACCCTCCTATCTATTTTTCCAGTTTGGGGTATACCTGTGTGTACCCTGACACCCACGTTTTATGTGGGTTCTAGGGATCAAACTCAGGTTCCCATGTTTGTTCAGTAAATACTTTACTGAGCAATTCATCTCCAAACCCTCAAAAAATTTCTTCTGAAATATTTCACTTCTCTCAAACCTTTGGTTAACTGAAGGTGTTATCAAGTTCCTTATGTGTTGCTTGGAGGTCAAGAGCCTGTACTAAATATTATTCTGCTTGTCCTTTCTCAGAGGCAGAGTCTCATTGTGTAGCCCAGACTGACCTGGAACTTACTTGCTGAATAACCTAAGCTTGTCTTGTACTCCAAGCAGTCCTCCTGGCTTAGTCTCCTGAATGCTGACATTACAGGCATGAGCCATTCTTCAAAAAGTAGTTTGTACTGGAAGTGGTATCAGATACCTCTGATCTCAGTGGTCAGGATATGGGGAGGGGTGTGGGTGGATCACTGTTTGAGGCCAGCCTGGTCTACATAGGGAGTTGCAGGCCAACCAGGGCTATGTACTTAGACCAATGGAGACTAGTTTGGAAACTGCTTCTTTACAGACCTCTCCACCACTCTACCAGTGATTTTAAATCAGAACTATACATTACAGTACATCTGGAGTTTCTGAGTTAATTTCTCAGACCACATTTCAGGCCCTTCCCTCTTTAAAACAGCGACTTCTCCAGACTTCTAAAATAATAACTAAGGACCTTAAGAAACATTTCTCAGGCTGGAGAGATGGCTCAGAGGTTAAGAGCACTGACTGCTCTTCCAGAGTTCAATTCCCAGCAACCACATGGTGGCTCACAACCATCCGTTATGAGATCTGGTGCCCTCTTCTGGTGTGCAGATATACATGGAAGCAGAATGTTGTATACATAATAAATAAATCAAATAATAAAAAAAAGAGAAATGTTTCTCATTGTTGGGCAGGTGGATCTCTGCATTTGAGGCCAGCCTGGTCTACAAAGCAAGTTCAAGGACCACCAGGATTGTTACACAGAGAAGCCCAGGTTGGGGGGGGGGATGTTCCTCATAATGTTTAATACAACGCTGTGAAAGTCATTTTTGGGATGGGGAAGTGGTTCAGTCTTGTAAAGTTCTTGCCGAACAAGCATGAGGATAGGAGTTCCATCCCCAGAACCCATGTGTTTTGTTTTGTTTTAGTTTTTAAAGCTAAGTTCAGACTTATTTGCTTCTCCCTTGGGAGGTGGAGGTAGGTGGATGTCTGGGGCTCACTGGCCAGTCAGTCTAGCTGATTCAAGGAGTTCCAGTTTCAGTGAGAGACTTGTGTGTGTGTGTGTGTGTGTGTGTGTGTGTGTGTGTGTGTGAGAGAGAGAGGGGAGGAGGGGGGAGGGAAGGGAGAGGAGAGATTGAAATATAATATGGTATGAGATGTGTGGGGTGCTGGAAAAAATGGCTCAGTGATTAACAGTGTATATTGCTTTTGAAGAAGACCTGAATTTGATTCTTAACCTCCACATTGGGTATCTCACAATTGCCTGTAACTATGGTTCAAGGGGATCTGATGTTTCTGGCCTCTACAGGTATCTGTACTTGTGCATGCGCGCGCGCATGCGCGCGCACGCGCACACACACACACACACACACACACACACACACACACACAGATCTTGTTGAATGAACATGTTTGACAGATTTTGAATAGTGGTTAATTCTAAGACAATTTCAAGACCGTTAACATTAACATTTTTTAAGTGGGAAGATGACGGTGCACTTGAAATTGGGGTAGGTACACTCAGGTCTATAAGAACTTTTTTTTAAATCATAAGTGTGGAGATGGATGTTTTGGTTTTCTTTTTCCTATTAAATAACTGTTTTTCTTAGAAAAGAAGTCTGGAGAAGTGGCTGTTCTGAAGAGAGATGGACGATATATATATTACTTGGTAAGGTGGGGCCAAATCTTCATACCGTATAATATAGGCAAATGGGCTTCTCTGTGTTGATCACAATGCTCTATCCTAGACAGCAAATGATGCCAAATAGCTTTCAATCTGACAGGAGCTCAGCTCCAGAAGAGCAGGCTGCTTGGAGCCCTGAGTTGGGCACAGCAAGCTGCTCCACAGCCCCATGGTGAGACTGCTGTGCTGCCCACCATAGGCCTGTGATCCAAGAGTGGCGGGGTTAGGGAGACCCACTGCCCTTTCTTAGTCACAGTGAAAGCAAACCTTGTCTCAACAGAGATTTCCCTGAGGGACTCTAACTCTAACCTTCCCTGACACATGCAGGGCCACAGAATGCCCTGCTCCTCTCCTGGCTGCTGTGGGAATGTGGGATTCTTTACCTTCCTCAACATCTTTGGCCCCAGAAGAGGTGTGGCTTCTTTGCAGCTTGTTTGGGATGATTTAGAGCAAGCCCACTACAAATCTTTTCTGGTCAGCAAATAGAGTCAGGAGATCAGTACCCTGTGAGTGTTTTGCTAAAAGCCTGGAATGAGTGTCTGTTAGGAGAACAACCTCTTACTGCTTCCTTTGTGGGAAAACGAAAAGCTGGAGAGCATGGTTTCTAAATGAGCAGACTTTGGGGGGCCACTAGGGCAGTGTGCGCACCTTGACACAGGTGTGCCACTTATCTGCACAGATTTCATCACTTGCTTAAGCATGGCAATAGCACAGCTTTCCTGTGCCGTGGTTTTCCTTGTTACAGGGCAGAGTCTGTTTCTCAGTCATTGGTATGATTTTCCTGTGGCTGCAGGACATTGTCATCCCTGCTCTAGACAAATTCAGTGAATTAATCTATTTTTAAAAGTATTTTAATTTCAGGATGTAGAGGAATCTGGCAGCTTCCTCACTGACTACCTTTTTGGGAGGTGGAGCTAATGAGAGTTTGAATCTTTTCTTTTGTGTTCAGATTACAAAGAAACGGGCTTCACACAAGCCAACATATGAGAACCTTCGGAAGAGCTTAGAGGCTATGAAGTCCCATTGTTTGAAGAATGGAGTCACTGACCTCTCCATGCCCAGGCAAGGAAATCCAGGGTCCTAACTGAAGATTGAATTGATTGGTGCGGTTTAATCTCTAACTTGCAGGCCAAGCTGAGAGTATAGATAGATGTAAAGGTAGACATACCCCTGCTCTTCAGAGCTCCCTACCAAGTGACTGTGAGGCCACAGCATAGCTGTTTTCTAGCTTGAGGTGAAGAATCCTGGTAAATAATGGGAGGCACACACCTGCCTCAGCTCTGAGGGGAGTGCCCTTGGCGTTGAGACACATCTGTTGAATGCTTGAGTTGTGTTGAAGTGCTGGCCTCTGCTCCTGAAGCAGTGAGGAATCACTGCACAGAGACTGAGCAGTTGCAGTTCCTTTCGGGCTACTTCTGATCTCACAATTGAGTTTTGTGCCAGGAAAGTTGTCAGTGACCTCTGTCTTTTATGCTGCATGCCTGCTTGCCATTCCAATGGATAGCAGTCAGGGACTGTCCCTGATTTCCCATGGAGGACATAAATGACATTGGGTGTTCAGTGACCCTTTGCTTCCTCAGGAACTGGTCCATACCCCTTCTCTTTTTATTACCCTAGTAGTTTTCAGTCAATGCTGACTAAGCTCAAGTGACTTTGGGTATGACCACAACATACATACATACATACATACATACATACATACATACATACATTATGTGCATTGGTGTTTGTATGTCTGTGTGAGGGTGTCAGATCTGCTGGAACTGGAGTTACAGACAGTTGTGAGCTGCCATGTGGATGCTGGGAACTGAACCTGGGTCCTTTGGAAGAGCAGCCAGTGATCTTAACTGATGAGCCATCTCTCTAGCCCATCATCCCTTCTTTAATATACTCATGGCTCATGTGTCAGAAACTTTTTTTTAAATAGCTATTCTTGAGAAAGTTGATTGTCTTGCTATCAGGTGAAGTTGGCCTTTGTCCCTAGGCTTGTTGAGGACCAGTATGGTGTCCTATTAAAAGAAGAGTCAGATGGTAGAGCTTACAGGTTGACCAGTAGGCTGCAAAGATCTCACTTGGGCCACAGCCAGCATTCTGGGCATTCCATTTTTTACTTCCTCTTGGAAAGGTTCTCCACTCCCTTGCATCCTCCTTAACATCCCATTATTGTGTGTTTTAGATGTATGTACATTTTCCCATCCACTGAAATTAGTTTTTATCAAAAGAGGGTAACTTGGCTAGTGCCTTGTGTCAGAATGAAATAGAAGTCATAAATAATTGGAAAGCAAAGAGATATGACAGCCACTTAAGAACTGTCTCGAGTGGCTTCACAACAAGAATCGACTATAGATTCTCCATTGTGGCTGCCTGTAGGTGTGAGCCCAGAGAACTGTGCTTTGGATAGAGACCAAAGGAAGAGGGAGGAGAAGTCTCCTAAATACTTTTATCATAACCAGCGGAAGGGGTTTGTTTTTTCACAGTTGGTCTTAACCAAAAAGCCAGGGAAAGATGAGATGTTTTCTTCTGTTTTCAGGATTGGATGTGGTCTGGATCGTCTGCAGTGGGAGAATGTGTCTGTGATCATTGAAGAGGTGTTTGAGGCAACAGACATCAAAATTACCGTGTATACACTCTGAACAGATGAAGAATTTGGATGAGCCCGTGGTCTTTTTTGTCTTCTCTACTTGGCTGTAGGACTAAGCAACTGTAGGACCTTAAAATGGGCAGAGGACAATGTGTGAGGAAATCTGTGTCGCAGGCCAGTTGTAGGCTTCTGTATTCCAAAAAGACTGGAGGGCATTGCGACCAAGCAGTGTGGCAGGAGGGTGAGGCCTTTCACCGTGTCAGAAAACCAGCTAAGAAACCACTGTGCCTGTTTTGCTTGTTCGCTACTGGATTTGTCTGGCTGGCCACTAGGTGGCAGCATTGATTCTAATTCTCTTGTTTTTAAAGAGAACTTGTGGAGGTAACTTGGAGAGGTAAACTGTCTTTGGCATCTTTTGTGTTTGTGCACTTGGTGCTAGTGTGCTGTCATCAAAATCATCTTAGGAAAGGTCACAGTTGTTTTGTTGTAGTGACACATGTCGGTCTCGACTATCATCAAGGAGTCCGTGGGGACAGGTGTGGGGCAATAAACTTTTCTCTTGGGTTCACTAAAGTTTGTGCACGTGCACATCTGTGTTCTGGATCTTGGGGACAGGCTAAACCTGTGACTGGTTTGAAGAGCCAGGGTTCGCTGGGAAGAGCAGCAAGGTAAGAGGTGAGTGTGGACAAGGATTGTGTCCACCTGGTTAGAAGGCTGGGCTGGAGTGTTTGTGGGGTCGTTTGGTGTCTGCTGCACAGTTGAAGTGATTGGCCATGTCTTAGTTAGTCAGGAGGCCAGTGAAATAATTCTAAAGACTTGGGGCAAGCAGGGTCCCAGGTTCATGTGCACTGGGTCTCAAGAGCACTACAGTGATTATTGGTCCCTCTTCTCAAACTATGGACCAATCTGTCTGGGAGGCGGGAGGATAAAACCTAAGCATTTAGCCAGTATTCTTTCATTAGAGCTATTGGGGAACTAAGAACCCTCCCACCCACTGTGGTTGTACTAAAAGGTTGCACAGCCAAACATAGGCAGTTTTACTCTAGTGTGAATGCTGGTTGCTCAGGGATGGGTGATTTTTCCAGTGGGGTGAGGGGAGAACCAACTAAGTTTTACAGAAGGCTTGTGGGAACACGGTAAAGTAGACATGTGTTCTTATCACACTGCAGCCTGATAGGAGGCCATAGTTCAAGAACAGGTTTCACTTTTTTTTTGGTTTTTTTTTTTTTTTTTTTTTTTTGGTTTTTTTCAAGACAGGGTTTCTCTGTGTAGCTTTGGAGCCTATCCTGGCACTCTCTCTGGAGACCAGGCTGGCCTCGAACTCACAGAGATCTGCCTGCCTCTGCCTCCCGAATGCTGGGATTAAAGGCGTGCGCCACCAATGCCCAGCCAGGTTTCACTTTTGTATGTGGGAATAGACAAGTTCTACATGTTGCTGTGGGGGGAGTTTGTTACAAACCTAGACCAAAGCAGCAACTGTCTCATGTCCTTTTTTTTTTTTTTTTTTTTTTTTTTTTTTTTTTTTGTTTCTCTGTGTAGCTTTGGAGGCTGTCCTGAAACTTGCTCTTGTAGACCAGGCTGGTCTCAAACTCACAGAGATCCATATGCCTCTGCCTCCCGAGTGCTGGGACTAAAGGCCACCACCGCCCAGGTTTTTTTTGTTTTTTTGGGTTTTTTGTTTGTTTGTTTTGCCACCTTCTCGTGTCCTTTAAACTATAGGGAGAAATGTCTTAAGTTCATGAAGTAGATGAGGTCAGGTGATGGGCAGAAGCTTATCTTATTTCACTCTGGAAATCTTCCTTTCACTACTGTAGATTCAACCTGTAGCCTTTCATGTTAGACTGTTCCTCTACCAAACTGCACCTCCAGTTCTCACAGAAACATCTTAAGCTTGGTCAAATCATTAGCTCTCTATGCTTCCTTTGCTTTTAGGGGGATTATAGTTAATAGTTAATTTTTGTCAGGGAGCCTAATTGACTGTTGGTGACATCCTGGGCCTTGGTGGGGATGTGTTTAAAGTGCCTTGGGGTCAAATTCCATGATTCCTTACACGTGAAGCCTGAAGGAAGGAGACATGGCCTGATAACAGAATGAACACAACCTTCTTGGAAACCCAGGCTGAGTCTGGTTATCACCCAGGCATGTAAGTGTGACTTTGTTTCTGCAGAGCACTCCACAAACCTTTTGGGATATGACACTTGCCACCATCCTGTCATTGTTTCCAAGTGCTTCTTTTTGGGATCTCACAGTGTGTCTGAACATTGCCTTGGTACTTTGGACCTCTCTAGTGAGAAGGAAATTGCTTACTGCTTGGCCATCAAGGTGTGGATATCTCATAAAACTCAATGAGCCTTGCGACCCCCACCATATTAAATCTTCAAAGGAAAGGAAAAGCTACAGTTTACAAATAATCCCAGGAGAAATATTTTCTTTATCTTTTCAGTAGTGCTGGGGATGGAATGAGGCCCTTGCATATGTTAGGCAAGTACTCTACTGGCAAACCAAACCTCCTCCTTCAGGAAGAAATAAATGTGTGGCTCATTGCATGCACATGGATGTGAGAGGACCAATCACGGCTTCCTTCACCTTCCACCTTGTTTGAATCAGAGTCTCTTGGTTGCCACCGGGTATACCAGACTGGCTAGTACACCTGCAGGGATTCTCCTCTATCTTTTATCGTGTGCTAAGCTTACAAACTCATGCTACTGCATCCTGCTTTACGTGGGTTCTGGGGATTTGAACCCTGGTTCTTGTGCTGAAGCAACAGCTTTACACATTGAGCCATTGCCATCTCCCCAGCCCTAGGGAGAAAAGGTCAGGACCAATGGTGAGAAGTCAGCTTGGAGAGTTGGTTCTTCATTGTCAAGACCTGGCTTTATCTTGCTAATGCCATGGCTGGTTCTTAGCCTGAAACATCCCTGTGCCCAGTATCCACTCACTGTCCATGGGAACTTTCCATTGCCCAACTTTCTTAAAAGAAGAGGCCACAAAAACCACACTATTTCCTTTATTGATGATGCTATTTGGCTTTAAAAAAAAACAAAACAAAAACCCAGCCCAACTCAAAACACTTTTCTGAATGTATTTCACCTTGAATCTGAGGATCTTTGTCTCAGGCAGCATCCCTGGGGAGGCCTTGTGCCCACATACAGTTGCTTTTCTTGCCTTCATTTTCCTTTCCCCCAATAGCCACATTACAAAAGGCATGGTTGAGTGAATGACAGCCTGAGGTGTGCTTAGAGTTCTCTGAGGGAGGGCCTTGTCCAGTACAATGGTTGGTGTCAAATGTTCAACTCCAGGTATAATTGGGAAGACAGGCATGTCCTGGATGCCATCCATGTCACTGCTTCTCTGCTGGCAGCTGGCAGACCTTCATGGAAAACAAAGCATGTAACTGAGAGCCTTGCTGACCCCCAACAGCCAACCCTCTAATCTAAGTAAGACTTCTTTGTACTTTCCTTAAAGAGACCCTGGCTGTTTCCTCTGGGGCCTCCCATGGTTCTTGGCTGAGCTAGGGTTAGGATTGTTTCCTTTGTTGCTTTGGTGTGGTTACAACAGTCCTGGAGGAGATGTGCTTGGATTCTGTTCTCTGAAGTTAAATATATGGTACAGAGATTCCGCTTTGCTTTGCTTGAGACGGGGCTCTGCTGCATAGCTTTGCCTGGCCTGGAACTTACACCCAGATCAGGCTAGTCTCATACTCGGAAAACTCTGCCTCCCATGTGCTGGTCTGCCAGTCTTAAAGCAGATGAAATAAGAGACATTTACTTATTGGATGCTTTTTAGTGAACTTTAAGAAGGGCTGTCGTTTAGGGTCATTTGGACTCTACCATAACTTTTTTGTTAAATTTGACCTTCCCCTTGGGAACTTGGGAGACTCACAGGTATGCACAGGGAAGTGTACTAATGGGTCCAAGAATACTGGTCCTACCTGTATACACAAGCAGGAGTAATATTCTAGAATACTGGTCCTACCTGTATACACAAGCAGGGGTAATATTCTAGAATACTGACCCTACCTGTATACACAGGCAGGAGTAATATTCTAGAATACTGGCCCTACCTGTATATACAAGCAGGGGTAATATTCTAGAATACAGGCCCTACCTGTATACACAAGCAGGAGTAATATTCTAGAATACTGGTCCTATCTGTATACACAAGCAGGAGTAATATTCTTTTTAAATTACATTTATTTATGTGTCTGAGAGGGCATGTGCATGTTTGGAGTCAGTTCTCTATACTGTGTGGGTCCCACAGATCAAACTCAGGTCTTCAGGATTGGTGGCAAGCACCTTTACATGGTGAGCCATCTCGATAGCCCAGAGTATTTTAAAATGAGCTGACTTAGACATGTACTTTGCCTTCATACTGAATTATTTACTGAGTATCAGTGATCCCAGATTAAGACTTTTGTTTGAGAAATTCATAATTTTAAAGAAAAAAACAAATCCCTGAAGACTTCCTAGTTTGATAGCTTGCAGAAATGGCCTGTAAGAGTCTTTAAAGGGGCTGGCTAGATAGCTCGGTCAGTTCAGGCTCCTGCTGCTAAGCCTGACACCTGAATTCCCACCCCCAGAACCCATGTGGTAGAAGCAGAGACCAAACTCTGGCAAGGTGTCCTCTGACCTCCACATGTGTGTCATGACACATGCCCCCTCCCATACACAAATAAGTAAAAAATACAAATTTATAAACACTGTGTTATTCAGCCAAGCACTGAATCAAACTCCTGGAATCCAGTTGTAGAGAGGGAGGAGTGATGAGCAAAGGGATCAAGACCATGCTGGGGAAACCCACAGAACCAGCTGACCTGAGCAAGGGGGAGCTCACAGACCCTAGTCTGACAGCTGGGGAACCAGCATAGGACCGAACCAGGCCCCCTGAATGTGGGTGTCTGTTGGGAAGCCTGGGCAGTCTATGGGGCCTCTGGCAGTGGAACCAGTATTTATCCCTAGTGCATGAATGAGCTTTGGGAGCCCATTCCCTATGGAGGGGTACTTTCTCAGCCTAGATACATGGGAGAGGGTCTAGGTCCTACCCCAAATGATGTGTCAGACTTTGATGTTCCCTCATGGGAGACCTCACCCTCCCTGGTGAGTGGGTGGGAGGCATGGGAGGGCGGGAGGGATAGGGAACTGGGATTGGTGCGTAAAATAAGATTATTTTTAATTTAAATAAAAATTTATTTTTAAAAAATGTGGTATTTTTGTGGGGGAGGTTTTTAATTGTTGCTATTATGATGGTTTTGGGGATAGAGTAGGAAGCCCAGGCTGGCCTATGAACTCTGCATTCTCTTCAATCCACCTCTTGGTTCTGGGAACACAGGCATATATTATTATTATTATTATTGCTGTTATTGCCAGTGGTGCTGGGAATTGAATCCAGTATGTGTGCACATTAGGCAAGCATTTCACAACCAAACATACTCCAGCACAAATCTTTGAGCTTTGTAAGCATTCTACCACTGAACTACACCTCCACTCCAAACTCTTTTCTTTGTTTGTTTTTGACTCTTGTTTTGAGACAAGCTTAAATTAGCCTGAGAATCGTTATAACCCAAGATAACCTCTAATTCATGATCCTCCTGCCTCTGCCTCTGGAGTGCTGGGATTATAGGTACATACCACCATATCCCTCTCTCCCATGAAGACTGCAAAAGAAAGCACCTCGGTTAAAATTACACCAGTGGTCACCATTCTGGTGAGTCTTATGCTGGCTACACTATTATTATTGTGGTACCTACACTAATAAAAATCTTTGGGGAATTGTAAAAACAAGTTCTGTATTTTCAGGGGTCACCCGTGACATCTGTCTTTACTGCTGTCATAACCCAGTGTCCTGTGTAATTTTATGTGAACCTACCTCATGACTGCCCACAAAGTCTCTGCCCTTTTGCTAAAAAGAATAGACTGAAAATGTGTCAGCTTGGACAGGAAGATTCGATGCTCAGCCTGAGGATGTCTGAGCACCCCACGTGCATGCCTAATAACTAACACCAACACAACCTGCCAACACACAGCTCTGGAACATGGGGATTTTCAGAACGTGGCTGTGAAGCAGCATCTTCTCTTAAGGGTATTAAGAGTGAGAAACATCAAACATAAATTGAATGATCTTTACGAACACATGCTGCGTCCATGTTTTATGAATACAGGAGTCGTTCCAGAATTAAACTTGGGTAGGAGTGCAGTGAAGAGCCTTCATCATCACTAGATTTTGATCAGCAACTCTGGCCTTGGAAAGGGGTTCAGCCACAGCAGTTCCATAGCAGCAAACTAGATCAGACCAAATTCAAAAGATAGTGAAGGCTCTTTTACCCTTTTTCCTGAGGATAATTGGCCTGTTTCTGTAAGAGTCTAATTTACCCTCAGCAAGAGGCCAAATTGGCCTTAATTGTGTCCTAATTATTTGCCTAAACAGCTCATCTTTATTTCCAGTTCTCCTATCACCTCTTGACATCTGTAGGAGGCTACTTCTGAACTGCTGTTGCAGTTACAAACATCTCTTAACCCTTTAGACATTCCAGTATAAATAGCTCACTGCTCTCACCTCATGGCATTTGACGCTCCATGAGTTCCCTGGGCGATTGATACTCAAGAAGAAGAGTGCCCTGGCCTTATACATCCACCCAGCAACCACCGAGCAACTCAAAGAATAACCCTTTGAAAGCAGGAATGCAGAGCTGGCTAAAACCAGAAGATGAATACAGACTTCAGAGCACTGTCTGCTCTTCAAGAGGACCTGGGTTTCATTCCCAGCCCCACCTGGTGCCTCACCACTGCTTGAAACTCCAGTTCCAAGGGGATCTAATGCCCTCTTCTGGACTCCTTGGGCACCAAGCATGTACATGGTACACAAACACACATACAAGCAAAATACTCATACCACAAAAAAAAAATTAAAAAAAAAATGTCAAAAGGGAGTGGCAAAAAAAAAAAAAAGCAAGAAATTGTCCCAAGAATGGAAACTGCATTCATTACAGAAAAACAGGGGTTGTGAATTTGGGAATAGGGATCCAGAAAGTAGCCACAGTGAGGGTCTTGGAGTCCCAGAAACTGAAGTTATGGGTGGTTGTAAGCCACCATGTGGGTGCTGAGTCAAATCTGTGCCCTCTACAAGAATAGCCGGTGCTTGTAACCACTGAGCCATCTCTCTAGCCTTTTTTTTTTAAATGTATGCGTATGCCTGTATGAGTATGGGCAAGTGCATTCTAGTGTCCAAAGTCCATAAGACGGTGTTAGGTCCCCTGAAGCTGGATTCACAGGCAGTTGTGAGCCACCCAGTATAGGTGCTGGGGACCGACTTTACAGGAGCACCAGTGTTCTTAATGGCTTAGCCCTCTCTCCAACCTCAAGATGTGGTTTTAGGTAGAGGGATTCCGAGGAAAGGGGAAATGAAACTGTTCTAGAATGTTTCTACAACCAGTTAATACGAAGCAGTGCACCTCTTGGAACTGTATTTCTACCTGATCTCAAGTCTTCTACCCAGGTAAAAACAGAGATGGCGCAGGACGCCAGGAAAACTCACAGAGGTTGAGCTCCGCGGCCTACTTCAGGATATCTGCCAACTTCTCCTCATAATATAGGAAGTTCTCCTGAATGTCCTCCCAGGGCTCAAAGGCCTTGGATTCACCCTCTTCTTGCTCCACAAAATTCTGCCAGATGTACTCGAAGTCCTGAGGTTTCATGATGCGCAGCTTGCAGCCGGCCTCCTTCAGCTTTTTCAGAGCAGCTTGGACCTCTGGCTCCTCCCACATGAAGAGCCGGCCCACCAGGATGAGCAGGCGCAGGTTCTTGGCCTTGCTGAGGGTTTTGAGAATTCGGTCGGCACAGGCTGCACAGGGGCTGGAGGACACATACCAGGTGACATTGTACTTGAGGGCCGGGTCGAAGGCCGGCAGGATGGTGTTAAAGAAAGCCTCCTCGGCGTGGGCCCCTGCGTGCTCATCCTCCAGGTAGCCCCGGGTCGCCTGCACTTGGCCTCCCTTGCTCTGTGCTTCAACCACATAGCAGAGGAAGGTCTTGTTCCGCCCGGAACTGTACTCCACATTCCGGAACTGAAATTTAAAGAAGTTGACAGGCAGCCGCTCCCTGTAAGTTAAGGAGACAAGGCAGGAAGAAGACGGGAATGATGAGTCCTTGTTTCTAGAACTTAAATGGGGCAGGTCTCCAAGACCCATTCATTCTTACTGAAAACGGGCCTTGCCTATGCTAACACTGATATATATTCATTGGTTAAGAGTTCTTGCTACTCTGCTAGGGGACTTGTTCCCAGTATCCATGTTCAGTGACTCACAACCACCTGTAACTCTAGTTCCAAGAACTCTGACACCCCCTTCTGGCTTCCAAAGTCACCTGCACACATTCAGTGACATACACACATCAATGTAAAAATACCCACCCTTTAGAGACACAAAGGTCTTTTTATGTAGTCCTGACTATCCTGGAACTATATAGGCCAGGCTGGCCTCAAACTCACAGAGATCCTCCTGCCTTTGCCTCCTGAGTGCTGGGAGTAAAGGTGTGTGCCACCATGCATGGCCCAAAAGTAAATCCCTTTTACAAATGTCCCAACTCCCTCCCTCCCTCTCATGTCTCCCTCCAATGGGGTCTAGTTAGCCCAACTGGCCCGAAACTCCAGGTTGTCTTGTCTCGGCCTCTCAAGTTCTGGACGGCAGCCATGTGCTACCCCTACTCTGTCATCACACCCCATGTCACGGTGAGCTCTCAAGTCACACAGAGAATAGCAGTTTTGTTTTGTTTTGCTTCAGACAGTTTCACTGTGTAGCCTTGGCTGCCCTGGAACTTGCTCTGTAGAGCAGGCTGGTCTCAAACTCACAGAGATCCACCCACCTCTGCCTCCGAGTGCTAGGATTCAAGGTGTGTGCTGCTACTGCCCATGGTGAGAATAGCAATTTTATGAGGTAGGAGGTGGTGGAATTTCTCACGAGGAAGCAAGACATTTTACAGAGCGTTTCATGCCTTTCATTTCTCTTTGTAGCTCTCATAGATTGTGTTTTGGTCATGGAATGGCTTGTATCTCATAATACAGTGTTCTCCTACTGGCTGTTTCTCAATTGAAAGGGTGTCACGTCATCAGGGACTCAGAATTATCTGTGAGACAAGTCTACCCAAGGGTACCTCTGGGTAGGTAAGGTTAGGTGTCATGTTGGATCATTTGGCCCTTGGCCTCCACATGACTGTCATCTAGATCTAGTTAGACAGGGAAAATGTAAATAAACGGTCAAGAATGCTAGAGCATTGTAAAAGTGGACAGGAGAGGACATGGAGTATGATGGTTAGTTTGTCAACTTGACTAGATTTCAAACCACCCAGGACACACATCTCTGGGCATGTCTGTGAGGGTGTTTCCAGGAAGACTTGCCCTCAAAGGGAAGAGCTAGCCTGGATTTTAGGTACCAAACTAGGGGCTCAGGCCTCAGGTTACACAGGAAGGGAAAAAGAGAAAGTGAGCCAACCAGCATTCCTTGCTTCCAGCTCCCTGACTCCCTGCTGCCCTACTCATGCCTCCCCTGCTCGGAAGGGTATCTCTTCAGACTGTGAGCCCAAAGAAACTGCTCTTCAGTTGTGTCTTGTCATTCATTTGGTAACAGCAACGAGGACAGTCTTTGGACAATATATGGAGAGTCTTGAAAGTTAAACCTGGATTCTGGAGGAAATAGAAAATGTTTTCTTGAAGAAAAGCATGACATCCAGGGAAGACCACAATGGTGACACCAGGCTGATGCAATACATCTGGGCACAGCCCTGGATCTAACGAGCCCACTAGACATCTTTCAGCAGTGGACTCAGAAGATTTAAAGGTTTAGTTACATCAGGCAATAAATGGAATAGGAGTGGCTGGGCGTTTTTAAAGAACAGCATTAATAAAAAGGAGAAAAGGTGTCAGAGTCAATAGTGGTGTTCTTTTAAAATATATACATACATACAGGCAGACAGGCATTTATTGATTGTTTATTTATTTATGGGGAGGAAGCACCTGTGCTACATCACATGAGAGAAGTTTCTCACCTTCCACCCCATGGCCCAGAGGTTCAAGGTTAGACTATCAGGGTTGATAGCAAGTGCCTTTACCTTGTGGATCTCAAAGATTGTTTTTAGTTTTCTTGTTTGTGAGTGTTTTCCTAAAATGTAGACCCATATAGGTTTGGAGGCCAATGAAAATGAGAGTTTTCAAAGTCAGAAGTGGAAAGTGCCAGCTAGAGAGGCCACTTAGCTTGTTATAACCAGTCACAGAGCCTGGAGTGTGGCTCTGTGAGAGCACTTGCCTAGCACATGAGACTTCCAGCACCACAGAATAAATGTTTAATCTCTGCACCTGCTCCAAGACATGCTGCATGGCACCACTAACTCACAAGGTGCCTGTCTGCACCTCCTCTTTCCTCAGAAAGGTCAGCAGACTCCAAGCTGCAGGGAATCCAGACCTTGGCTGCTTAAGGTGAAACAGCCAACTGGAAGAGCTGAGGAAGCCCCAGCGATTTACCTCCCTGTCCCCTGCTGGCAAGTCAAGTTTCCAATATGGAGATGGGTCTGTCTGAGGACCCAGCCCCAGGATTCTTCCAGGGTTATATTTAGCTCTCTAGGTACCTCCATCCATCCCTAGCTGGAAGTGTTTATTATTTACTTAACATTTCGGCAGGAGCGATCACCTGCTGTTTTTCCTTTTCTTGATGGAATACTCCCTATTGCATAGTTTCATTCACCCACTAAACCACCCTCAGGCTCTACCTGTTCCTCAGGGTCCCCTCAGTCCCCGAAAGAGATTCCTGTTCCTGAGAACACAGAGCCACCTTCTATGCTAGATCCTGGGGGAGGGGGAGTGTTGGAAGGATTTATGACACTTTGTAGGCTGGGGCTTTTAGAAGTAGCTGCCCCATGTGGTCCTTTGTTTTTTTTTTTTTTTGTTTTCTGGTTTGTTTTTTTTTTTTTTTTTCAGTGCTGAGCAGAGAACCTAAGCTTCAGTTGCAGTCAGAGATTTCCTGCTGTCCTGGCTGCCACTCTGGGGACTCTGGCAGACTCCGGAAAGGGGAAAACAGCAGCAACAGAGACATTTATAGAGTCTTTCCTTGAGTTTTCAACCTGATACCTGACTATTTCCTTTTTTTTTTTTTTTTTTTTTTTTTTTTTGCAAGGGTTTTTCTTTGGG